GGTGGGCTCTGCCGCTCCCAGCCCCCCAACAGGTGTCTCCCACCTTCCACACGGCCAGATTCGGGGGAGGGGGCGCTGGGGAGCGGGTGGGAATCTTGCAAAAGAGAATGAGGAATCCACTGCTCTTGGGCTGGGGACCAGGGTGCTCCTACACCCACACTTAGCGAGTCCCGGCATTCACACACAAATCACTGTGTTCACACACCAACATGCCCTTGTCAGAGTCCAGGCACACAGCTGCGGGGTTTCACATACTGAGTTACATGGGGTGCTACAGGACACTACAGCGCCAATGGCTGTGCTCACGAGGGAAGCCACTCCGCAGGATGTTGGGGTGAGTGGGGAAGGCCTGGACAGAACTGAAACTTCTCCCCATGCTCTGCCCAATGCTGTAGTTTGCACAATATGTGCGTATGGTGGTGGACTCACACCTGAGAGCTAGCCTGCAACCTGGGCATGCGCCCTGACCGGGAATCGAACCGTAACCTCCTGGTTCATAGGTCCTCGATCAACCACTGAGCCAAGCTGGCCGGGCTCTGCTTTGTTTTTCTTCAGTTTTTTTAAAGCTTTTTGGACGTTCTGTTACAGACATCTTCACGCTTATATACAAAAAGCGGTGCTCATCACGCGTTTAAACAGTGGTCAGCATTTTGGCCATCTTCACCCATGTGTGTGACTCCTAGTCGGTATCTCCAGACCCTGTCTGCCCACTGCTTCAGGCTTCCCACAGCTTCAGGGCTACCCTATCCCCCATGATCCCCAGATGCTGTTCCTGATGGCAGGTCGCAATTCCTGCTCTGAGCAGTGTGGACCCCATTCCTCTCTGGCACCCTCATACATATCCCAGTTTCTTCCTGTATGTAAGGGAATCACCCTACCCAAAGCAGGAGGGCCACCTGGAGGCGATGTCATGTGAGAACAACATATGCCTGTATGGGTGACACCTGGCATGGGTGTAAAACTGCTATGTCAAACCCAAACCCAGCACAGAGGATCATCCCCTGACTTCATACCCAGAGAGGCAAGATTCTTCCCAGGGCCAAGAGTCCCCCAAGAGGCAGATATTCAGGTGTGACTTTTGTTTCCTCTCCCCTCCCCACAACCAGTCCTCTCCTCCCAGACCCAGCTTGCCCTGCCCTGGGTCACCAGGGTGACCCTCGCTCTCCCTATCTCCAGCTTCTACCTTTGTCCCCAGCCTGGATCCCACTGTGGTCCTAAGTCCTTGCTCTCTTTGGCCCACCCTTGGCCACACTGAGGCTCAGTCCTGCTCGCACCTTTGGTTCACTCCAGAGTCCTCCCACTCGGATTTCAGACCTAAGTGTCAGACATCCCCCCTCCCCCCAGGAAGCCTTGGTGATCCAACCCGTATTTTTTTTATTGATTAAGTTATTACATATGTCCTTATTCCCAATCCAACCAGTATTGATGCCCTTCCCTACATAGCTTTATGTGGTGAGTTCTGGGGCAATCAAGCCCTAAGGCTGAGCCCACAGAGTGGAGAACCACTGAATGTGCAGAGGCAGACAAGCATGGCTGGGGGACTAGAGGACAGAGAGTAGGTATTTTTATTTATTAAAAAAAATACATAACTGTGTCCAGCCCACATTCAAGGGTAAGGGCATTAGGATTCATCTCTTAAAGGGAGAAATTTAAAAACACTTATGGAGATATTTTATTTTTTAATATATTTTTATTGATTTCAGAGAGAGGAAGAGATAGGAACATCAATGATGAGAATCATTGATCGGCTGTTTCTTGACCGCCCCACACTGGGGATCAAGCCTGTAATGTGCCCTGACCAGGAATTGAACCATGACCTCTTGGTTCACAGGTCAACACTCAACCACTGAACCACACTGGCCAGATTATGGAGATATTTAAAAACCACTACAGAAGGGCTTCTAATTCACAAAGATTAAGGGAAGGACTCAGAGCAGGAACTGAATTGGGAAGGCGTGGAGGAAAGAGCCAGGAAGATACCTAGAAAACATTGTAGGCAGAATAGTAGATGCAAATATCCAATGGTGGAAGTTTGCTTGATGTGTCAAAAAGAAAGCAAGGAGGCCACTGGGCTGACCAGGGTGGCTGAGGTGAGCGGTGAGATATATGGTCAGAGGTAACACAGGCCTTGGAGTAGGTTCCTGGAGGCAGAAAAAACACTGAATGAGTGGGAAGCCGATGGAAATGTCTGAACAGAGTGAAAGGCTGAGTCGACTATTGCGTGGTGAACCCTCCACACAGCATGCCAGCATGAGGATCAATTAGGCCACTGCAGTAATCCATGCAAGAGAGGACAGCTTGAACAAGGGTGGTTAGATTCTGAATGTTTCTAAGATAAAGCTGACACGCTCTGTTGATGCCCTGGATATGAGATGTGAGAGAATAAGAGGTATTCAAGATGACTCCATGCCTTTTGGCCTGGGCAGGTGGGTAAATGGAAGTATACTTAACTGAGACAGTGAAGCCTGCAGGAGGTACAGGATTGGGAGAAATCAGTTTATGTTGGACATTTTAAGTTTGAGATGCCAATTAGGCAACCAGGTGAAGATGTTGGCGGTCAGATATATGAAGCTGATATCTGGAGCTCAGAGAAGAGGTTTGGGCTGAGACAAGGAATTAGGAGTTGATACATATAGACCAGTGGTTCTCAACCTTCTGGCCCTTTAAATACAGTTCCTCATGTTGTGACCCAACCATAAAATTATTTTCGTTGCTACTGCATAACTGTAATGTTGCTACTGTTATGAATCGTAATGTAAATATCTGATATGCAGGATGGTCTTAGGCGACCCCTGTAAAAGAGTCGTTCGACCGCCAAAGGGGTCGCGACCCACAGGTTGAGAACCGCTGATATAGATGGTCCTCAAGGTCCATGTATGTTGTTGCAAATGACAGGATTTCTTTTTTTATGGTTGAATGATATTCCATTATATAGATCACATTTTCTTTATCCATTCATCCTTGAGGGCATTATGCTGTGAAATAAATCAAAAAGACACATATTCTATGTTCTCACTTATATGTGGAATCTAAAAAGAACAAACTCTTAGAAACAACAGATTGGTAGATGCCAGAGGCCTGAGGTGGATGATATGGGTGAATGTGGTCAAAAGGCACAAACTTCCAGTTGTAAGAGAAGTAAGTCCTGGAGATGTAATGTACAACACAGTAACTATAGTTAATACTATATTACATATTTGAACGTTGCTAAGAGTGTAGATCTTGAAAGTTCTCATTTTAAAAAAATGTAACTGTGAGGTGCTAAACTTATTGTGGTAACCATTTCACAATGTATACGTGTATCACTATGTTGTACACCTTAAACCAGCGGTTCTCAACCTGTGGGTCGTGATCCCTTTGGGGGTCGAAAGACCCTTTCACAGGGGTCGCCTAAGACCATCGGAAAACACATAATTACATATTGCTTTTGTGATTAATCACTATGCTTTAATTATGTTCAATTTGTAACAATGAAATTGGGGGTCACCAACATGAGGAACTGTATTAAAGGGTCGCGGCATTAGGAAGGTTGAGAACCACTGCCTTAAACTAATGTTATATGTCAATTATAGCTCAATAAAACTGGGAGTGGGGAAGACATAGATGCTATTTAAAGTCTTGAAATGATTGAGAGCACATGGGAGGGGTGTAGACAGAAGTTTGAGGATTAAGTCCTGGCAAGTCAACAGAGGTTGGACAGGTTAAGATCTAGTAAAGGAGGCAGAGGAGAAATGTACTGGAAAACAAGTGTTTTAAGAGTGATTGTGTCAAATGAAAGTTGGGAAGAAACAATTCTGGGCTTAACAGAGATGGGTAGGACCCTGGAAACCTAGTCCTAGTGGGAGGGAGGGACGACAGGGGAGCTGGAGCATCCCTGATAGATGTGAGGTGAGCCTAGAGGCAGAGCTGGGTTATAGGGTGGGAGAAGTCCTTGAATGCTTGACTTTGCAACCCATGATCTATGGAGAGGCCCCAGCTAGGCTCTGTCATGGCCAGGATGGTGGTGGCCATGACAGATGTCAGGATGGCCATCTTGCCTGGGACTTATATTCATTCAGAGCCACAAATTTAGACTTGATGTTGCTTACAAGTGGTTATACATGTAGTCTCCTGTATTTTTGTTCATTAGAATGTCAACTTTTTAGAATACACAATTTTTGTAATCATGTTCCTCACCATTTTCTAAGAGTGATCTGGGCCTTACCCTCAGAGCAGGGCCAGCAGGATGGGACAAGTGATGCAACCAGAGCACAAAATTTAAGAGGGCAAGTGCAGGGTCGCTGGGAGTACACTTTAGGGGACCTCTTTCTCACAATCCCTCAGACACCACCTGCTCTCCACCCCCAGGAGCCTCCCCATAGAAGTGAGGAGTCCTGGAGAAGGCAGACTGGAGAAACTTCTGTCTGGACAAGATACCCTGGAAACCCAGAAGAAAGCAAATGGGGAATGACTAGGCCTCCATCAGCTCAAAAGTGGGTGCACACTGCCATCTCGTGGCCATTCAGGACAGGACTCCCAGGGCTGTTTCCAGACCTGCAATGGCAGAGGCAAGACCAAGATACACACCTCATCCAGCCCTGAATTTCTTAAACTGTCGCATTCAAAACGTGTGGAGAGGACCTTATTAAACATATGGATCTCATAGCCTCAACCCAGAACTGAACCTCTGGGGATTGGGCACAGTAATCTGCAGGGTCAATGAGCCTCCTGGGTGACTTTGTGCACATTAAGGTATACAGCCAGTGCTTCATAAACTCAATCACACCGCATGCTTTCTTGCTGCTCAGATACACAAAGAAATGGAACTGTTCAACAGGTCTTTATTAACAGAGTCAGAGGGACAGAAAATGCAGTGTCTGAAAGCTGTGATGGGTGTGTGTGTGTACGCACAGAAAAGGCCTTCTCTCTAGGCAGGGATGATCCCTTGGGTCTAGGCCCACACCTTCAGGTCTTCCCATCAGGGTGGGCCGTAGGCTGAGGTCAGCCTCCACACCATAGTCCCGAGGGAAGAATGGTGGTCTTTCAGGAAGGAAGGGACCCTGACCTCAGCATTCTCCCTTCTTCTGGCTCCCCAAAGCTCTAGAAAGGCCTGAGTTAATGAGTCAAGCTTGTGTTATGTTTGAACATGACTGGACCCCCTGGTATACATGGGGATTCATGATCTGAATGTGTGTCCCATATGTTCCCATAAGTCTCTGTGTTTGGTGGTATAAGCATGTATGTCCCTACTTGTATACCAGGAACTCAGTATCCACATATGTTGTACGTCCATCTTTCCATATGCGCTCCAGCAAGTGGATGTGTGCGGGCCTGCCCGCTCCTGTCCACCCACAGGTCCTCCTTCAGGCCCGGCTACTCAGGGGTCCTGGCCGAAGAGGTAGGTAGTGAGCTCAAGTCGGAGACCCCGGGCATAGGCGCGAAGAGTGTAGAAGAGGGTGAGGAAGTCCTGGGTGCTGAAGATTGTGTCAGCCAGCGCAAAGGTCAAGGTAGATGGGATGACTCCCCGGCCATACTCCACCATCCATGTGTTTGGCCCCCACTCCACAGCCGTTGCCTCACCAGGCCTGTGCACCACTGTCTCCCCTGGGGGACAGGGAGCACCCACATGAGGAGCCTAGCCCTGCCCTTCCATTGTTGCCCCCTCCCTGGCCCATGGGCTATCTAAGGGTAAGGAGAGTTTAAGGAAAGGAAAAAGTCTGACCTCACTGGCCAAGTCCTCTATCTGGAGGGGTAAGAGGCCAAGATGGCGGCTCCTAAATTTTCCTGTGGCATCACCTGGCTCATGTCCTTTCTTGAAGGAAGCCAAAGAGCACCACCTACTGACTATGGGCCATTGTACAGGAGTCATTCCCAAGCCTCCGTCACGTCAAGCAGAACTTTAGCTAAATTTGGGCCAGTTAGATACAGAGGGCTGGTTATAAGATTTGTGAGGCTTTCTGAGAAATGTAAGTGTTCAATTACAATGCCTGCTGTGCTTTAACATAACTTCCAACTTAGTTGGAAATCCAAACCTCTACTTATTATGTAAAATATTTCACTATATAAAAAAAGGAAGACAGCTCTGGCCAGTGTGGCTCAGTTGGTTGGAGCACTGTCCTGTACACCAAAAGGTCGTGGGCTCGATCCCAAGTTGGGGTGGGTATGGGGGGCAGTCAATGGATGTTTCTCTCATCTTGATCTCTCTCTCTCTCTCTCTCTCTCTCTCTCTCTCTCTCTCTCTCTCTCTTCCTTCTCAAACATATCCTCGGGTGAGGATTTTTTAAAAAAAGGAAGACAACTGTCTGCCTTGCTTTTGGAGATATGAAAACATTTCTGATTACCCAACTGTTTCCCCAACAATTGCTGGAATATGGGTGAGTAAAAGAGTGTCTTAGTTGCCGAAACCGGTTTGGCTCAGTGGATAGAGCGTCGGCCTGTGAACTGAGGGGTCCTGGGTTCGATTCCGGTCAAGGGCATGTACCTGGGTTGCGGGCACATCCCCAGTAGGAGATGTGCAGGAGGCGGCTGATCGATGTTTCTCTCTCATCGATATTTCTGACTATCTCTCTCCCTTCCTCTCTGTAAAAAATCAATAAAAAACATATTTAAAAAAAAAAAAAAGAGTGTCTTAGCAGATAAAAATCAGACAACATTTAACAGGAAACTCTTGTGTTTTGTTTCCTTTTGACAGAGGAAAGCAACTGGGGCCCTCAGTCCTGCCTCAACTAACTACCTGTGGCTTATCCAGAGGATGGGGGACAGGGGAGAGGGTCCCTCAATGCACCCCTTTGCCACGCCAAGGCTCCCTCCCCGACCTAGGAGCATACCACAGGGAGGAAAGCCACTTCTCTGACAGGACCTCCCTACCCACCTGGGTAGAAGACCTCGCTTTTGGTAGTGCCCTCTCTCCACTGGTGGAAGGTGCCAGAGATGATGGTGTCCGAGATCTCAGCCCAGTAGCGTCCTGCGGGACAATCAGATGGACACCGCATATCAGAGTATCCGCCGGTCAAACAGAAAGGCGGGCATGGGCCCTTGGACACCCCCAGCCTCCCAGTCCGGCCCGCCGCCAGCACTGA